CAAAAAGCTTAAAACATACTTTAATTTTTTAATTGATATTATAAATTATAAAAGTGATCAAAATAAGGTATGATTTATGATTATATTGATGGAACTGTCTTACAATTATTTTTCAAAGAGTTAAATGAAATAAAAATTAAAAAATGCAATATTCATGCTGTTTCACAGATAAGATCCCATGTGAAAAAAAGTGAACTAATTCACAATTTTCTCAATAACTATTGAAAAGATTTCAATAATTTTTTTAAATAATTTTAGTAGTAGTTGAGAAAATTAAATTGATAGCTCAGGAAAAAAAATGAAAGTTAATATGAAATAAAAAAAAAAAAAAAAAAAAAAAAAAAAGAGAAAAATATAGTATGTTGTTCTTTACTACTTCTTACTACCTGCTACAACAAGGTTGACAGTTATGGCATTTTGAATTACAAAGTAGATCAGCAGATTTGCTCAAATACATCTTCGTAGTACACTTCTTTGAACAGTTGTGTTTTCTGAGTCTTTTGTCCCGTAACTAAAGAAAGTTTTTTACTACTTCGCATACACTTATTTCTTCTGTTCCAACTTCTTTGACGTTTAAAAAATTTTCTTTGCAAAAGGTAAACTGGTTTTTTCTGCACAATGATTTTAATTTACCAAACTTAGTACTAAGAACATAAAACTTGCCATCTTAGTATCTGTAATAATGGCTATTACTGATTTTGGATCTATTTTCAATCTATCAATATCAGGTGTTTTTATTTTAACATTTTGTCTGATAGGTTTTTTGGAAGGTTTTTAATAGACACAATATTCATCTCTTTTACCTGCTTCTCAAGTCCTTCCTTAGCTCTCTCTCAAAACACTTTCACATTTTGAACTTTGTTGATAATCACACCCGGTGTGTCAGAGCATATATATATATTTCTTCAATTTTAACTTCAGTATCTACTTCCATTGTTATGCATGATTCTCTTTCACGTGTATTATCTTGCAATTCTAAATCAACTTTTGATTCGAGTTAGTGCCTTCATCTTCTGCATAACTATGCATAATGTTTATAATATTTTTCTAAGTCCTCATCAGTTTTTATATCACTCCACATTTCAAATAAATTGTTTATGATTTGGTTGCTAAATTCCCTCCCATTGTCAGAATGAAGAACGTTCAAGACTCCAAAAGTTGTGAAAATATTCAGAAGGCGATATGCTATTTCATCAGCTCTTTTACTGTGTAAACTTGGGAGTAAGGTGAATTTTGTAAGATGATCTTGATATGCTAAAGTGAATTTCATACTCAGGACTGCATATCTGTTAAGTTGACTTGGCCTCAAGAATTCATTTTGCTGTACACAGTTGGTTGATTACTAGCCCCCTTTTTCACTTTTTTTTTTCTGACATGGCTCACATAATAGTCTCAAATTGTGACAATAGATTTTGCTGTTACATTCTTGTATTTTGCTATTCAGTTCCTCAGTCATACAGGTTCTTCCAAAATGACCAAATGTGGTATGATCGTCGTGTATGACATTGAAGACTTCATCAGTTATAACAATACAGGATTTCTGTTGATAGTGGTGCTGTAAGTTTGGCCTCTCCTACAGTATTTAGAATATTGGTAGTGTTTAAACCTTCTGTAATGAGCTGTTTGTTTCTCCTTCACACATTTTGCTGCTTTCATTTCATTTATTAGAGAAGTGCATTTCTCATTTGTTATATTATCGTGCTTATATTTTACAGAGTCTGACAAAATGTTGTAAAACTTTTTCCGCATAACATCACTCATTTCCTTTCAGCAAAATATGTTAAAATGGAAACAAACTGCTTCTATTTTAGATCGTAACCACATGCACTTGTTTGAATTCACTTGAAGCTAGACATCAAATGGCACAAATGAGGAGGGGCAGGAACAGAAAAATGTCATGGTAGAATTTGCGTGCACAGGCTTATTCAAGATTGATTTAAATCCCCCGTTTCGGGCTTTTAAAGGAAGGCGTTGGTAACTCCTAGGTTTTACTGCAAAGGCTTGGTAAAACCTTGAATTTACCAGACTTCGAACTATTGCAATAACATATATATATTTTTATATTTTTATCTATTTTTTATCTTTTCATACTTTTATGGTATATATTTGTTATTTTTATAATTTTTATATTTTTTATATTTATAAGAATCATGCCTTTGGGTTACTATTTAAATGGCATGTTCTTTCTTTTCACATTTTGGTATTGGATTAAAAGGGCAGTCAATACTAATACAGTGTGTTGTTCCTTTTTTAATAGCCTTATTATTTTTTTAAAGCTGAAAGCATTTTAATAGCTTTTTGTAATAGTATAATTCCTTTTTTAGTAGCAAAATATTATTGTAGTAATTTAAAGTAGATTTAAATGCAATTGTATGCCTTTAAATGGATGGAACTGAAATTATGAGATGCATCATAGAACTGAAGAAACACAATATATGTTTTTAACAGTGCAGAATATGTGACAATTGTCACTAAATTTATAGTTCACCTAGCTTAATAATTTGGGAAAAAGTATAAATTATTCTAATAAATAAAGTCAGCCCTTATGTTTTGATGGTATTGCATTCTTGTAATGGCATATTAAATCACAAAATAAACCTATTATAAGAATGTAAGTGGAGTGGAGAGAGGAATATGGTGTACAGATTAAAAAATATGTAGTTTTTAATTAAACCATATTTAATTTGTTTTCCAGATAAAATTATTGCAAAATATTTATTTTTATATTAAAGTAACATAAAGTAATAAATAACTTAATTAGTATTAATAGCTCTACTTAAATGCTGACTGCAATCTGAAACACCATCCTACAGATTTTTCTTCAGTAGTAACATTAGATGAGACTTTACTGGCATTAAGATTTCTGTGGCTGAGGCTTATCTGATGATGAAAGGAGAGGATGATGTGTTATCTGAAGATAAGAGAGAAACCTTTGGACCTTTCTATTAAGAAATAAACTTTTGCTGTGTCTTTGCTTTTTCTTGCATTGAGAATTTGATAAAATGGAACTAATGCATTATTTAAACTTGAGTTACTTTTTTCCCAGGCATTGCCAGTTCTGTTTAGGAAATGATATAGGAGCTTGTAAATTTAAAATAGAAAGAGTCAGTATTTACAGTTGCAGTCTAACAGCTTATTTTAACAGAACATTACTGAGCTGCATCTAATATGCAAATCACCCTTTATGACCTAAAATATGGGTACTATCCTGTAAAAATGTACTATCCTTGTTGATCCTGAGAGTTGGCTACCATGGAACCATAAATGTTGACAGAGACTCTGTCAAAGCTACACTAATCATTCTTGTGGAATTCTGAAGGAATTTATACCTCTTTATTTCATAATGAGTATTCAATCTACTTTTTTTTAAAAAAAACTTTATAGAAATGCGTTTATCGATTTCTACTGCGTTATTAGGCCAATTTTGCCAGGAACACTGTATAGAAAGCTAAAAGTACAAACTTCCTAAAGATATTGTACCAGTCTGTTACTGTTTTCTCTGCGATATTCATCTAACAATGTGTCCATTTATACGCACTTCTTTTCATAGTAGGATCACATAATTTTGAAAAGAATCAACTGTTTGCTATTCTCCAAATTTTAATCATTTTTTCAAAATTCAAGAAAAACAGCAGTAACTGTTAATTTATATTTTTGTTCATAAAAACAAAAGATGGTTTATTGAGAATCGATCGAGTTTACATGAAACGAAAACGCTGATGTTATGAATGTGCTATGACATCATGCTCATCCATAATTGGCGCTAAATTGTATTGTTTCATGATTTATGTGATAATACATTAAGTACCAAAAATGTCTTAACTGTTGCCTTCATCCTTCTTCATTTCTTCAAAATTGCTTTTTGCTTTAATCAAAATTTTTACCTCAAACAGCGCTCCTGTTTATATTCTGTGTGAACTGTTAGTAACTTTTCCCATTCCTCAGTAAATTTACTTCTTGAGTAACTCAATGTTGTAGCACTTACTCCTGTAACTTGTATTTGTTTGCAGTGCTCATGATTATGGGTGGCAGTTGTCACAAGGTTGCAGTAACCTTTACAGATTTCCATTTGACAAAATTAAAATTTTGTTTTTTATATTTAAATTTTCTTATTTTTTCTTAATGCATAAACAGGTTAAGTCTGAATAGTTGTAAACTGAACTATCATTGAATGGAAGCTGAATATAAAACTAAGAGTTTTCTGTTTATTTAATTGTATTATAATAAATAATTCATTATATCGTGAATAAAATATTAGCTTCATTTTATCTTTTACTAATTGTAAATTTTCCAGTGTTATGTATTTGTTTTAGTGTAGATTTTAGGTGTATTGAATCACAGGTGTATCTAACACAGGAGGTAACATAATATTTAATCTTATTCACAGAAACTATTTTACTGTTCAGTTTGGTGTTCATTTTATGTCACTCATTATAGTAATTTTACTTTTCTTTCTGAGTAGAAAAAACATATTTTTCTTCATCTTTGGTTTAAAGCAAATATTATTTATATGAATATCTAAAATGGTCTCTAAATTGTGGCCATAGTAGTTAGTTATATATGTTGTTCGCCTGTAGATAGTAGATCCCTTGGTACTCTTCTGCAGACTGGTGAAATGTTCTATCTGTAAAATAAAGTAGAATGTTTCATAGAGATATGTTGGTTTCTCTGTTTATGGAAGGGAGAATCTTAGTAACTAAATCTCTCCTCTAAAACATGAATTGATTTTTCATGGCATGATGGGAATTGTGGATTTCTATCTTTTGTGGCAGTAATATGTAGAAGAGTATCTTTGCGTTGTGAAATATTTGTATGCTTCAACTTCTAAAGTAGTAATAATATTGTAAATATCAGTAGAAAGTTGCTGAAATAGTTTAAATAGAAATTGTTTTGCCAGTGAATTTTAATTGTTTATATTTGCTGTATTACATAGTACTGTTCAAGAGTGTCAATATGTTTTAACTATCAAGTTGTAAATTTAATTTATTAATTTTTTGCAGGACATTAAACATTTCATTGCCTATGAAGATGGGGATATTTCCAAGCCTTTTCTTACTTCTGATTAGACTACATAATATTTTTGCAGGTAATGTAGGAAGGATAAGGAACTCTTATATTAAATGACACGGTTCTGGGATTCATAATTTTTATGTACAATAATTTAAAATTATTGTCTTAAAGTCATGAACTATTTCATATCCATGTCATAAAAATATTGTTTTATTTTTGAAGATTAGATTGTATATAATATAATGTCTGGCAGAATAAGTGACCTTTTTTTCTAAATGAAGTCCCATAGCAGACAGAATAAGGTTGGCAATTTTGTCAGAATGGGCTCTTTAAAAACTACAGTAAAGGCAATTTACTAATAATCTTAGCAATATCTAGCTGTATCAGTACAAATGTAAAGTTCTGAAATCCGCATGGAATCTCTTCTCTTTTGTTAATAAGCTAGTGTTTTAATAGATTTTTGCCATTTACTGTGAAATACATATATATTTAGTTAGTGCAGAACTTTCTAAAATTTTATCTGGAGTGAAGTAGAAAATTCTGCTATAAGAAACAGTAAATATCCCTTGCGATTCAGAATCATGGGGATTTTGTTGATTGCAAACTTTAGATCATCTGTTTAAACAAAGTAAGATAACAAGTATAAAATGTGAAGTAGTTTCTTGTTTTTTTTTTTTTTTTTTTAATAAAACAATGAAACATTTATGACCTTAAAGGTGTAAATGTTAACTAAAAAAGAAGAAGGCTGAATATTTGTTTTATTAAACATTTTTTTTTCAATGTAAGTTTTGTGCTATTATTTTCTCTTTAATTTTAAAGACTGGCAGTTTCTTGTTTAGTTAGAAAGTTCTATTGTTCTATTTCTATTACTGCTATGTACAAAATATCCGTTTAAACTGTCAATCAAAATCTGTTCATTATCAACCTCTCTGTCACTTTTTCTCCTATTGGTAGAGATATTTTCTGAATTGAAAATCATACTCTGGATTTTGCTTCTCCAAATTTCTTGAGAAATTCAATTCACTGGAAAATTTTACCTTTTATTTATGATATCCCAAAACCATTAAATCTGCGGCTATGATAATCATCAACATTAAAAACTGTAGCTGGCTATAAATTATGACAAGCATTTTAAAAAATATCTGCAGATACATCCTCCCATCCTCTACACATGGACATCCCATCTATACATGGATGCAATCTATCACTGATAAATAGATGTATAATTTGAAGGGAGAATGATGAAGATGTTACCTTTTACTAACACTTTTAAATGAGGTGCGAGCCGAACAGTGTCAAATCAGGACATTTTTTTTCCATCAGTAAACCAAATGGTTCAAAATGTTGTTGAGCCTGGGGTATGCAATGATTTTCAAATGGGTCATTTTATATCATCCATGCTAATTTATTTAAACTAGATAATTGGAGAAATTGTCACTCTTTTAAATGAACAAGGTTATGTTCCCCCCCTCCCGACAAGAGTAGTTTACAACTGTGCATTCCTGCAGCATTTGCATACGTAAAAATTGTAAGGTCTTGCTTTAAAATCTCTGCACCAGTTGGGACCTCCAAACCAGTCTGCAGAAGTCACCAAGGTATTTCAGGGCACATATTGCCAGAAAAAGACTGTTTTTGTTAGTGTTATAAATTTGTTTTGTAGGTAAATGTTAGCTATTAATGAGTTCGATTAATTCATCTACAAATTAGTCTGCTGCTTCACTAATTTTGCCTGAAATTTTAAAATGTCTTACATCATGTCAATTTTTAAACTTGGTTAACCAACCCCTTGAATATGTGCATTTAGTTTTTGAGTCCATTTTCTCAAGAAATATTTTGGCTTAAGCCTTTAGTATCTTGCTCACCAAAAGCATGCCTTCACTGCAATGCTGTCTCACCAATGTTCAGTTGTCAGTTCATCATGATCATTACTTTTAGTATTATGAATGATTTTTCTGTTGTTTATTATGAGTAGGATGTCAAAATCCACAAAAAGTCAAAAGGTACCTTTTTCTGTTTTTTATTATCGTATAATGTTGACTTTTCGATGTCATAACCTTTTGCATAATTTTGAGACAGATATGCTTTTATCCATTTTTTTTTGTGATTTTTTTCGGGTGGGTGGGTAGTTTGGAGGTCCTGTTATTAGATCATTGTGGTTATTGGACATGCAGATTTTGGTCTGTGCTTTGTAATTCTGTTGAACTTTTACTTTATTGAAAGATTATAGTAGCATAATTATAAATATATATTGCTGGCCATTAAACTTGCTTTATCATAAAGGTGACATGCATCAAATGCCAGATTTGAGTGAAAAGTACTACATGCTGGGATATGCAAATGATTAGCATTCCAGTGCATGCACATGAAGCAGGTATGAGTAGCGCTATCTACATTATGTATAAATGCGAAGACTGTACAGTGAGTTTCTCATTTAGAAATCAAATCTGAACATTAGTTGTTTGTGTGAAGGTCATGTTATGCCTTATGTAAGAAGGAGAAACTATTACCAACACATGTTAGAATTCGACCACTTCAGGATCATGGCTATTGGGATTGTGGTTTATCATATTGTAACATTTCGCTCACATTAATATCATGACAGTCAGGTGAATATGGAATCAATGGGTCCAGAAAGGTATACTTGAATGCCATGCAGGATTTCAGTGGTTGTGGGCCCTGGATCTGTCATCCAAGCTTGGTTAAATTCAGTGCCCAGCCAAATTACAGCCATTGTTGCTGTTGATGCAAAAGCAAAGTTTAAAGTTATAAATACATTTAGCAGAAATAGCAATAGAAGCTCCCTAAGATTATAAATTGTGCAGGCATAGAAGACAAAAGTTTTAAAAAGGCATAGAAGACATAGAAGACAAAAGTTTATATCGGGTTGAAGGGAAAGTTCTGTCGTATTTTAAATAAGCAGGTGATTTTTCTTGTAAATAAAAAAAAACATCTGGCTAGTGAGTCAATCGGATTTTTTTTTTGTTTTTTTAGCTGCTGTATAATATAAAAGGTGCCCTTTTTTACCGTTCATCATTTACTTGTAATATTTAAAGGGAAAAACATGTCGGTAGATAAAGTGCATTTACGACACTGCATTTTATATGAATTCCAAAAAGGAAGCAACGCATCTGTTGCATGTAAAAATTTATGTGCGGTATTTGGAAAAGATATTGTAAATGTTCGTACTTGTCAAAGATGGTTTAGCAAATTTCGTTCCGGGGACCTGAGCCTCAAAGAAAGTGTTCGATCTAGACGATTATCCAAGATCGATAATGATGTTTTGCGATCCATGTTGGAAAATAATCCACATTTAACAAGTTGAGAAATTGCAGAAGAGTTTGGCATTCATCATACAACTGTTGGAGATCACATTAAATCACTTGGGTTTGTGTTAAAGCAAAGTGTTTGGGTTCCACATGAATTAACGGAAAAGAATTTGTCTGATCGTGTAAGAATATGTTCATCACATCTGATTAGACACAATGTGGAGCCGTTTTTGGACAGGCTGGTTACTGGAGATGAAAAGTGGATTCTTTATGAGAATATTAAAAGAAAAAAATCTTACTGCAAACCAGGAACATCATCAGCAACAGTTCCAAAACCAAGTATCCATCAACGAAAAGTACTGCTTTGTTTGTGGTGGGACAGGAAAGGTCCAGTGTATTACGAGTTGCTGAAACAGGGAAAAAACATCAACGCGGATCTGTACTGCAATCAGCTGGATAAATTGAATGCAGCTATCAAAGAAAAAGGCCAGCATTAGCGTTCAGAAAAGGAATAGTATTCCATCACGATAATGCTCGCCCGCATACTGCAGTGGTGACACTACAAAAACTGAATGCATTAGGATGGGAAATCCTTAGTCACCCCCCGTATTCACCTGACATTGCACCCTCTGATTATTACCTGTTCAGATCTCTGCAAAATTATCTAACGGGAAAAAACTTCAAGTCTTTTGAAAGTGTTTCTAAGGCAGTTGCTGACTATTTTAACTCCATGGATGACAACTTCTACAAAACAGGAATTTACAGGTTACTTGGAAGATGGCAACAGGTTGTAACAAATAACGGAGCATATATAATTGATTAATATTAAACACATATTTTTATAAATGAATTCAAATATTTTCTTTAAAATACGACAGAACTTTCCCTCCAACCCAATAGAAGGCATAGAAGACAAAAGTTTTTTTTATAAACATAACCAATTTATTAACAATATACGTATATAAAAAATAAAAATACAATAAATAAATTTGATCAATACCAGAAACTTAAAGAGTGTAACATAATCATTGTCAAAAATTACACTTAGCTAACTATTCATTAACCCCAAGGGTTTTTCCTTTAAAGAATATTACACTATTAATGATACAGTAAATATATTACCTGATGTATGAATACTGGCATTCAATATGCAAAAAATACAGAACAAAACTATGCGATTAATTTGAATTTTTCTTTACTAAAAAGGTCTCTGCTTTTGGCCAAGAAGGCACCTGAAAAATTAAATTAAACCTTGAATGCACTTGAATTGGTAAAAGTCGCTGACTGCAGTTGCTCACGGGAAATCACAGCTTGGGAAAACATCGCCGCTAGACCTGAAAAACACTTGTGCTAAGGATGCTGTCTTCAGCAGTTGCTCACCGGAAACCACAACCTGAAATTTGACATCACTTAACTTTGGAAACAGGATGCCGTCCACGGCAGTTGACCACCGGGAACCACAACTTGAGATGTATCGCTGCCAAACCATGGAGTAGCCCATGGCAGTTGCTCACATCATCGCTGCTTTGCAGAATCCAGGAAAAACCATCAGGGCCCAGAACCACGGTACTTATTGCTGGATGACACTTATCGCAATAATGTCTTCCAGTGAGCATACCAGGAGCAATAGAAACAGGAACAAAAAGTACTAAGCCAGAGCGATGTGAGATATTTATACATGAAGTAGGCATGATGTCATCTAATGGCAGCCAATCAGCTGCCGGCATGACTCAGCTTTCCAGATGATGTAACCTCGAGTTTCGTTTTTACATCATTTTGTTTACATCATTTGATATTTAGAAAGAGAAAA